TTCTTGCTTCATCATATCCCAAGCTTCTTTGGCAGATTCACATGTCATGATCCTGGTAAAAATTGAATCTAAGACAACTGCGTGAATGAAAGACATGGCTTTTAGACCTTTTGTGATCTCTTCTTCATGACTTCAGATCTACTGTAGAGTTGGATTTGCTCTCAAAGGTTCTGGAGCGTTGTCTTCCTCAACATACTTTCATAATCCAAGACCCTTTAAGTATGTTTTCATCTCCACTGCCCAAACTTGGTAGTTCTCTCCATTAAAGATAGGGGGTGAAAGAGGAGAGCTGCTAGAAGCCATGTGAAAGGAAACTCAACAGAAAGAGACCTGGAGAAGTTAAACTTGGTAGGTGATTTTGCTGTGTTTTTTTCTCAAAAAAAAAAAAAGTCCCTGAAAGATCAATTTTTCTCTGATGCCAATTAAAGGAGAGAAAGAGAAGACAAATATGATAATAGAGAGATAATCTGGAGAAAGGGAGCAGATCTTTTCATTCAGCAAAAGCTTACTACATATAGATACATAAAGTGGTGCCAAATCCCTTAAATCCTGGAAATTGACTCCCTGTTTTGTGCTTAAATCAAGCTCCACCACATATTACAATATCTTCTACATTCTAGAACTTTGCAGTAAACATAATTCAAAAGTTATAACAAAAATATCCAGACGAAAGTACTAACATGACAACACTTAGCATCACATACAAAAAAACAGAACCCTTCATCAACTTCCTTAATTCGACACCACCAAAAACAAATAGCAAAATTCATCTATACTAGATATTTTTCTAAATAAGAAAAAAATTGCAAATTGTAACTTCACAGTAAGATTGAGCAGCATCCATTATTAGAAGAACAATCTATAACATTAGTTGCTATCTCACCTGTTACTTGGTATGCTCTTAATGATATCCGAATCACCTGAGTTGGATAAAGAGAACGGAAAAGGGTTGAAAATGCCCTTAAACTATGCAAAATTGAACAAAAATGTCCTATGTTGTTCAATTTCACATAGTTCAATTGCGTTTTTAATCATTTTCATAAAAAGAAGTACTTCAAACATCAAAACAAAAAAATCCACATTCAAGCAACACTAATAGTACTGCCACGTGCAGTCCACAAATCTATGTTATCTAAAACAGGAGGGAGATATATAGTACAAGAACCAAAAATTCACACAAAACAATATACCAATCTAAAGAATGTGATCGTAAATATAGAAAATACAAAATAGCTAGGGTAGCTATGAAGTTATACAGGACTTGCAAAGAACAATTTGCTTTTTCTTCTTTAGTGGACTAATTGAGTATCAAGCAACAATTATGATTTGAATCCTTGTTGCTTGATACTCAAGATTGGTATATACTAACTATTATGATTTTTCTTTATCAAACTACTAATCTTGTATCAATCTAAATAGGATTGAACTTCTTTTTAAGCATTTAACTAGTAGTATATATACCAGCCAGCACAAAAAAAAAAAAGCAAAATCTTATCTAAGATGTGTCCTCATATTCCTAATATCATTCTTTTTGGACAAGGGGAGAGAATTGTCCATGCCCATATAAATAGACCACCAGGAGAGGAAAAACTAGAAGTCGGGTACGGATTCGGCCGAACCTAGTAACTTTTGTTCAAATAGTGTATTTGTATTAAGAAGTTTATTATATATGTACAAATATTAAGTTTAGAACCCAGTTATTAACTCTTGAAATCATCGTTGCAAAATTCACAACCAGAAGGTTAAAATTCTGGTTTCACCTCTGACAACCAGTCCATTCTCCAACCGATTTGGAGCTCTAACCCACTCTAACAGTTAACAAAGCAAACGTATTGTTAATGCTCTCATGAGTCTTCTTCTGCAATTATCACATGTAAAACAAAAGGATTCTTACATCACTCTGATCACAAACACATTCACACACAATGTGTATGTATAGATGCAGATATGGAGAGAGATTCCTGAGTTTTCTTTGCTGCAACCATGGTGGGCTCTGGCCTGGAGGAATGGATTCAAGGAAAATTGGAAGAGGCAAATGCGTCAACGGCGGTAATGGAGGAAGTTTTCTCCTATATCTACTCCTATAACATACCGAATATAGTAGTAGTATTTCTCATATACTTTCTTGTCCTTCGATTTTTGGTACTATGTCTTGATTCATTGTACCTCGATTATTGTATTGTTTTGTTTTAATTTATGTCCTTTGTTACTATCTTTGTAATTGTGATTATCGGAAACGACCTCTCGACCTTTGAGGTAGGGATAAGGTCTACATACACTCTATCCTCCTCAGATCCCATGTAGTGGGACTACACTAGCGTATGTTGGTTGGTATAACATAAGTGGGGATAAGCACACACCTCACCCTTTTAGACCCTTAGTTTCAACTTCCCTTCCACCATATACAAACGACCTTAGAGCTTCCTAACACGTAATTCATCTCTTCATGGTCGAAGAATGTGCTAATTCCTCGCACATTGGGAGCTTTAATACCAATTTTTAGACACCAAGCTTTAGAGCCTCAAAAGTTGCTGATGTAAGTTAAAATCATTGCTTACACCATTATGTATCTCTTCTTTGTACGTTTTCAGCTATATTAGATTTGACTTAATTTTCTGTTCTAACAGCCTAATCTCCATTATGATGATGATCTGTCAATCGCAGTCATGAGAAAGAAACTTAAGTGTCGGAGACTGAGCACATTGACTGTATTTGCTGATCTCTTTGGTTCCTCCAAGTATTTTCACTATGCATATATATTTTACAGTCACATACTGTGTAATTACTTACAGATTCCCAATGCCTCGAGAAACTGGTCGAGATAGATGAAAGCACCTTTTTTGCCTCTTACTTATCTATAGAACAATCTTCTCTTATGGCCTTCACCTTCTTCCCAGAACCAGAGAACTACACTGCAAAGAATGTAGACAGAGATAGAAGGGAAAAGAACTGAACATTTAAGAACTACCTTGGCCAAATGATTATTTATCTATTCAGATGACGAAATGCGCTTATTAGCGACTTCAAAGCCATCTTTTCTTGTGATGCTATTACTTTTTTGTTAGGTGAAGGAGGTCAAAGCTTGCATTCAGAAAGAGAAAAATACTTTTAGTGCTCCTTGGTCGCAAGCAAATCCTTCTAAGAAAGTAGTTAGAGATGGAAGTCAATCACTAACTCGCACTTGAGCATTGTTATCGGAGTTTGAAAAAGAGTTGCTAAAATATCAAAAGATCAAGTCAGGTTCCATTTGTACAATGAGAAACCAGGGTGTTAAAGAACCGATTCTTGAATACTTGTCTTATTCTAGTTCTTCACCGGACAATTTGGATGTTATTGAATGTCAGAATATGAAATCTTTAGATGTATCATATCACCCCTTGTGAACATGTGATGGATTTCTCAAGCACCTTATTTCTACATCTCTATTCCTAAACATCTTGAATATTAAGGACGATTCAGGTGGCACAAGGGAGATCGATGCTCCAAATTTTGTATCGCTTAGAATATATAGGACATCTGATTCCTGAACTAAAAATTGCAAGAGGGTCAAGACAACTGAAAGCACTCAAAAATAAATTTGCTTTACAGCAATTTAGATTGGCTTTTTTAAGTTGAGCAAATTTCTATCAAACTCCGCCTCTTGGTATCAAGTTTCCATTCATTTTGACAAAGAAATTAAGTTCAGCGGGAAATTATATATATTTTTTTAGATTGGTGATAGGTGATGCAGTTCATTTCTCTCTAAAGTTTTGTAATCTATTGGTCAGGAATACTCAGGATACATTGTTTCTAACGATCATTTCATTGATGTTGTTTATTGAAGTCAAAAAATTACCGAGCAGTATCAAGATTCCAATATATTTTTGTAGACACGTGGATTCGAAGGTTTGTAATGAGATATATCAACTGTTTTCAATCCTTGAAGAAGTTGACACTATTTTGAGGTTGGCATTATGATATACACACGACGTTCAATATACTCTTCTTCTCCCTTTCTTCCTCTTCCCCGCGTTACGGATTCAACATCTCGGAGCTCACTTGCTCCTTCATGTGATGAATTTTGAGATCTTCTACTTATCAGAGTCACACTGAAGGCATTATCTCAGCAATGCGACCAACTTGTGGAGAATCCCTTTCTTAAAAAAATATTTGAACCCTTATCCAAACTTTGATTGAAATAAAGGTGCTTAAAAATGCATTTAAAATGGTTCCTTACCAATATGTACAAGGCAACAGACAATAAAAATTATTTTCAACAAAATGGTCATATGTATATATAATGTATCAATATTGTACAAATATTGTATAATCATGTATAGATGATGTATAACTATGTATATACATCTATATACATTGTTGATGTAGTACATTGTAAACTGATTATTTTCAATCTCAACCAACTCAAATCTCCTCCAATCACTCTCAAATTTAGACATGAGTTTCTCTCAATATTTTGAATCTTTTGATATATTATTAACTTGAGATGATTCAAGTTTGCGGCACGCCAATAAAATTTTGAAAAAATAGTGAACAGGAAAAGGCAAGGCCAGTCAAAGTTTTAAGGAAAAATTACAGAAATCCCACATTTTAGTTTACTTATTACCATTATTCCCTATAAATTTTACAAATCTCCAAAATCCCTCATTTTCGCGCATCAGATTAGTGTATCAGGGCTTATATTATTGTATCTCGCGCATCAGATTAATGTATCAGCGCTTATATTATTGTATCTCGCGCATCAGATTAATGTATCAGCGCTTATATTATTGTATCTCGTGCATCAGATTAATGTATCAACGCTTATAATATTATATCCGTTTGAGGGATTTCTGTAATTATAAACTTATAAGGGATAGATTGTAATTTTGTTTTAAAAGTATGTGATTTTTGTAATTTGCCCAAGTTTTAATGGGTCAAAACTTGCCATACCCCTAGCCCAATTGCCATCCCTATCTGTTAAGAGTTCCTAAATTGGTGAAACTTGAATGCAAATCACTAAATAGACAGTACTAACATTTAATATATTAACCCTTTGCATAAATAACTGTGTTCATAACAATAAATAAAGTTTGGAATTCAACATATTAAATTATATACATTATACACAATATTTCATAAACTTTTATGATGTTTAATTGTTTAGATACACGACAATATGTTCCCAACCTAGTCTGAATACCATTATTCTTTCCTTAAGAGGCAGAATGCAATGAAGTTTGCTTCCTTGGTGATGTTTGCTCTTTATCTACTGCAGACTCACAAGCATGAAGAATAGCACATATGTCATTTTGTTCCAGAAACTGTTCAGCATTTACGAGAATCACTGGCGCAAATTCAAACACCAGTTTCTTGCACTGCAAAAACACAATCGCATATAGACAAAAAGGTGAGTGTCAGACAGTAAAAACATCAGCATAGATAAACAGGTTGTGTAATCTCTTTTCTGCAACGAAAAAAAAAAGGGGTAGACTTGACTCGGCACACCCTAACGATACATCCAATGCCAATGACAGTTCAAACAGGCTTTTAAGAATTTTCAACTGAATTTCATAGGATAGCAGTGAATGGATACAGGAATTCAGTGGCATATGCAAAACTTTACGCATAAGGTGTCGATATTTAAAGATATGAAAAATGAAAAAGCACTGAACCACATCACCTTGGAAATTCAATTAATAATAATAATATAACACAATTCAAAAGAATTACTACAACTCATGTCAATGAGTTTTCATTTTGTTAAAATGTATTCATAATACTTTCATTATACTAAATAGTACAGTTTCTGCATAAGACACCGACAAGAGCTATGGTTTAATGAGTACATTGACAAGAGCTTTGTCTTAGTGGGTTCATCGGTTCTTGCCATAGAGGTCAGGATTCAACACTCAAGAATATGTCAACAAAGTGCAAGAGTACCAGTGAACTAGGAAGTGAAACTTTAAGAGAATGTCGTTTTGGTATAGGTTTTTCCGTCGTTGTGTTCATTATTTATATTCTATTAGCAATATTTTCAATGCCAAGGTGCATTGGCCGCTGCAGGGGTTGCAAAATCATTTCATAGACTCAAAATGATAAAAAAAAAAATCATTAAGTGGAAACTATGAGCACGCTTGCAGATTTAGCTATGATCAAACAATTACATTTCAGATGTTTCTAACCTTTTTAGCATAAGGTTTGATAGCTCCACATGCCTTCAAGAGCAGCTCAAGTATCTCTAACTGAAAGGATGTAAATAAAACAAACAAAAAAAAGAGTTTTAAGCAAATATATTCCAAGTGAGTATATTACCTCACACCGCCAATTACATAAACATGTACATACAATTTAATTCTAAGATAATATACTGATATTATTTCAAGGCGGCAAGATACAGAGAAATTAACCCTTCCTTTACTTAGTATATCGTTCATGATATCATGTACGAGGACTAGCAGCTGAAACAAAATCCTACATGGAGTTCTCATTTCACATATGCATAAGTTGAGCAAACTTTATTAATATATCTATATTACATATATAAAGTAAAACATAAATGTACCCGTGTGTCAGGATCTTTCAATTTCGATTCGGCCTCTGTAACTACTTTGTGGCATAAATCACAGTTCTTTCCAGAAAGCACCTGAGAAATAATAACCACTTGTTCACAAAGGCCAAACTGTTGGCAAAAGTTTTCAGGTTTCATTTTGTTGATTTGTAAGAAGAAGAGAGGAGCATAATAATCCACGAGTATGGCGCACTGCAACCAAGAAAACCAAAGAGATCAACTCAGAACCTAGCTATGAAAACCATTCAAAGTCTCATATTACATAATCCAGATTAATAATCTGACAGAACAATGTGGTGAAAACAATTGGTCAAGAAATAAGCAATTTCAAGGTAGATTACAAGTACCTCCTTCTTGTAAAATCGCATCTTCGAACAAGATTTGTGAAGACGGTCAATGATCTCTGTTTGGGTCTTGTTATTAGCCATGTAATTAAGTGCCTTGGCGGTATATTCTTCACACAATGTGCACAACTGTTCATTTCCATTCACTTCTTCCAGAGGTTGAACTTGTCTCAGTTCTTCTAGGTTATTTATCTGCAATACTGGTGCAATAAAGCCAAGAAAAATATTTTTTTAACATTAGCATCTAACTAACACAATATGAAACTATACAAAATGACTAATATATCAACCAGTTCAAATCATTTTCTACAAAACATTTAGGTAAGAGACTACACTAGGCTAGCAAGTAGGATTAACATAATCTACAAGAAAGATGCATCGCGTGGAAAAAAACCACTTGTGTATTAATTAATGAAGTCCAATAAACAGATATTATAACAGACCATAAAAAGATGCAAAGATTGCTAGCTTGAAAAACTAGGAATCCCCAGCCAAGTAGATAAGTACTAACAAAAGTAACATACTTGTAAATGCAAGATATAGTGCTCGAACCAACTATTGTCATGAACATCTTTAGCTATTGATTGATCCTTAGCCCCTTCCGAGTTGAAAGGAAAACAATATGAAATTTGTTTATTTGAAAAGATAGAAAGACTTGAGAAAGTGTACTAGGAAGGATCAATGGAAGGTATGGTTCATTTGGTGAAGAAGGAAAAAGGTGTTTTGATTAGAGAAAGGTTGAAGTTATAGTACACAAGGCAGGATAGAAGTTGTTATAGAAGAGCTTTTGAGGAGCTGTCAAGTTAGTACTTAGTCCTCTCAAAATCTATAGGACATATTTTTTGCTTTTTTTGAGACATTACAAAATGTTCGATGCACTTCAAAAAATTTATGAATTTTCAGATTCAATTAACTATGTGAATTTATAGATTTTTATGCTTTGTTTCATCAATCATATTATTGTGCAAGTATTTTCTTCCACAACTAACAATAAGTCAAATTAACACCCTAAACTCTCTGGCTAGTCAAATCCCGTCACATGAAATAGGATTGAGGAAGTAAATATATAAACTGCAAGCAGCAGTCTAGCAGAAAAGCACAAACTTCCAATAAGGGACTATCAAGGAGGTTCTTGTTAATGAAAGGAAAACCGACCATAGGAAACACCAAATTTGTAAGTCCGTAAATAAGGTTTATAGGGTTTGTTCATTTTGTTTCTCAATTAGCACACATTCCAACTGTCCCATGACTTCATATACGGAGACTTTATAATCATACAACACCAATGTAACCACTACTAAAATGAAAAAAAAAAAAAAAAAAGTACCCGAAACATCTTCAGTTTCTGTTATAAGGGGGTTAAGGACAGCTAATTCTCTAGCAGCGCAGCACCAGCTAGAACCAAGTATGAAAAGACACAGGCAGAGCCTCAAATCCATGCTGCCAGGAGAAAACAACCAGTCAGTCTAGATTGAGGAAATAGTAAACTGCAGCACAAAGAAAGAGTTCTACCAATAAACATACTAATAGCATTTGAAGAATGATAATTGAGAGAACAGAAGGTTGTTTGTTTTCCTAAACTGAACTAATAAAGTGCTTTTGTCCCACAAATGATATCTGTCAAGAACAATTAAAAGAAAATATACAAATGAAGCATATGCTTCTCTATAGACTTCCTTTAATGAAACAGGAATATGATCACAGAACTATTCATTTCATCTTGAAAAATACATTCAAAAACAGAGAATTTGAGGATCCCAAGAACTTTACGTTGCACAAGACAATCAGATCAGCAATGGCTTTGGACTAATTACAGTGTTTTCTCATGATTAAGTATCAATAGCATGCCTTTGGAACTTCAGCCAAAGAAAATGAACAAAAGCAAATCAGAGAAGATCTTAATTCAACTTAGCTTGGCCTAATTCAGGCTCGTCACTAAACCGTAAATTTCCAATTAAGTCACTCTTGACTGTAGTACACACGGATTGTAAGGAAAGTAAGACTAGCCATATTATTTGTGTCAAATCCCTCCTACTTTTTTCCTTGACATCCAACAGTTTTTACTTTGTTTTATAACCATAGTGTCTAGGTCAAGCTTGTACACGCCCCGGTTAATTCCACGGGGTACCTACTACCTACCACCAGCTCAGGTAACAAGTAACTTTATCCACCAAAATTTGGGCAGATAGTAAGAAATCACCTACTTCCTCCGTCCCATTTTATGTGTCACTTTTCGGATTTCGAGATTCAAACTAGTATATCTTTGACCGTAAATTTTTCATAGATTTTTTAAACATTTTGAATTATCAATTATTGTGACTTATAGTACTTTTTACGTAATTTACAAATATATAAATTTTATTTCAAAAAAATTGAAGATTCCATGCGCAAATTTTCGGTCAAACTTAAACTGTTTGACTCTCGAAAAACGAAAAGTATCACATAAATTGGGACAGAGGGAGTATTATTTTTGTCTCTATTGGAATTTGAACCTGAGACCTCGTGGTTCTCAACTCACTTCATTGACGACACCCTTGTATGCTCCAACTATTTGTAATTTCGGCCTAAAATTTTAGCCTTGAGCTAATTTCAACCACTCTAGAGTCAAACTAATCCAAGTACAAAACAGATTTTATAACAATACAATCATTTTCTCCAATATGGTTAAGATGCTCCAAAACAGGAAAAGGTCTTTTCCTCTTTTATTATCGTTTTAACTTAAGACTAGAACAGAACAAGACCACATAAAAAACAACACAATTTTGCACTTGTGAATCAAACAGTAACAAAACTACTGTAACCACAAAAATACAAAATAGATAAAATTATAACTACCACTCCCGCCGCCAATTAGGTCACCTCAAATATGCTTAAGAAATCCAAAAACTAGAACAATCATCTTTTTTCCCCTTCAACTTACAAACCAGATTTAAACTAGACCCCTTAATTTCACCAGTGTTCAAGTCAAACTTACCTGCACCTCAACTAATCCACTGGGACCTGGATGATCTGTACAGCCTACTTGCCAAGACAAGAAAGTGAACCGAGGTTGATACTCCCATCTTAGGATCTAAAAAGAACCCAATTGTATACATATATCGCATGAATAAAGAAAAACTAAACGCAGAAAATAGATAAGTTACAATATGATCATTATTATATTTCTAACATTCCTTGAACGCTATAAAAAAGAAGTCAATCGTTAACGCTTCCTACAAGATCTAGAGTCTAATTTGGAAGAACACCATACCCGGTATACAAGACAATTCTATAGAAATTGAACCAAAGGCAGAAAAATTCTAAGTGGAAAGTTTAGTTGATAAGTAGTTAGAGCGAAAGAGAGATGAAAGTAGAAGAAAGAAGGAAAGTTGCACAGAAAGATGAACAACACAGGATTACAGAAAAAGAACGTTTACCTGAAAAGATGAAGAGTTGTTTGGAGTCAGACAAGGCAACGATAGGATAAGCTGTTCGTTCAAGCAATGCCAATGCCTCCTTTTCTATATGAATTATAATTCCATTTTTATTTTCGTTATTTATATTAGAGTCAAATTAAATTTAAATTAGTATAGAAAATTTTCATATTAAAAATATAATATTTTTTAACAAAGGAGATTTCGTAATTAAAAATCTCAAATTTCAAATATATAATTAAAGATGAAAGAGTACGCACTATATAACTTTATTGGTTTGTTCTGTCTTCTACGTCTTTATTTATTTCCTACTTGCATATCATTGCCTACCTTCTTTATTGTTTTCTTATCAAGAAGATAAAATGGAAAAAAAAGTCAAATAAAATTAATAGAAAATTTAACATTTACGTGAATATTCTTTGAATATAACTTTGTACCTGAAGGATGGTTTGGTAGCTAGTTAGAAGAGTTACTTGGGTATTAATAATAATATAGGAATTAGTCATGATTAAATTTATGTATTGTTTTATATAGATATTAATTATGTAATAATTATTTATTGATGTATTAGTTATTCTAATTTTTTTATGGTGCATAAAAGAATAGATTCTTTTATAATTTATATATGTATTAGTTATGCGGAGTTCTAAATTATCAATCAAATATTGTATTAATTTAATAAATGAATAAGTTGTTTTACATTTACTTACTAAACATTGTATAAGTTATATGAAAACTGATATATGATAACTTATGTCTAATTCACCGACCAAACAACCCATTATGGTATTACTCTCTGTTTCAAAAAGAATAACTTTATTTTTTATTTATTTTAAAAAATTATGACATTTTTTTCTTTTTTTGGCAACACTATAATTTCAACTTGACATGTTTAAATCTACAAGATTGATTTTTTTATTTTTTTTTATTGTTCGCTAAAGTCAAATTTAGTCCTTTTTTTTAACCGAATGAAGTTAAATCCCAAAGGATCAGTTCGAATTGCAGTATCACTGGTGCTAGTATTTAGTAGGCGTTTGAAAGTTAAAATTGAAGTGTAAAATGAAAGTTACATTTATACATATATTTTCCTTGAAAAAAGTGAAAAGAGTTTTGTAAATGAAAACATAATTACACTTAACTTGTAAAAAAATTATCTTCAAATATTAGACAAAATATCATTTTAATATATAATCAAACAATGCTTTAGAAATGTTTTTTTAAATAAAAAAAAATTATCCTCAAACGAATCATTCTTCTTTCACTTTAGTACTAGTTTTCCACAATAATATGTCCTTCCCTATTATTAGAATCGTTGTTATAAAGTCAACATTTTATGTCTCCTTTCGATACTTATCTCCTATAAATAATGGTTCTTTATTTTAATGTCTCATTATTATTAAATAATAAAAATAGATATCTTTTTTTTTATCCTAATCTTTTGTTTTTTGAGTGCATTGTATCCTACTCTTACCTAATCATACAAAATAATGAAGGAATATTATACACAAGTGGGTTATCCAAATAATAAGCAAATTGATTTGGGCGACAAGTCAGAGAGCAGTCAAGATTTTTAAACAAAAAATATATTTTTTGGGACATCATGACTATTTATCATGATAATTCGGATCATAAAAATAAATAAATTACGGTCAGAGCGGAGCTAAGTAGGGTTTGTGGATTCAGACGAATTCAGTAGCTTTTTCATAAACCTTATGTTTGTACTATATATATATACTAGTTTTTTGACATGTGTGTTACACGTGATTACCAATTCCAAAAATATATGTTATAGTAAAGTATTGTTTATTTAAGCAAAAATTTGAATAATAAACTTAGCAAAAAATAATATTGCAAATTATTTTGTGAATGTTCAATGTGGATCGTCATATATATTTCTTATTCACGCAAACCTATGAAGATGGTCAATGAAAAATTTTATTAGTTAAATGCAATAATGTATATATTTATTTCAATTTGATGAGGTTAATCATGTAATTAGTCTTATCTCACTAATATTACCATATAGACAATATTTGCTTTGTATTTTTCTTGTCATCTAACCAGATATATTTTGCATGTGTATTTCACGTTAAATTGTTTAATAGTCATATGAACATGTGAAGAGAACAACTACATTTTATATATTCACATATTTTCACATTGGTTGTGATTTTATTTTTATTTTTAAAAAAAAAACTCGGAACATTTTAAAATAATATATTTTGAAGTTAGAAGGTCTTGTTAACTTGATAATACATTTGTGTCATATATAATACTTTAATTTAAATACAAATACCTACCCAAATATAAATACATATTTGCATTAATGAAAATATTTATCTCATAAAATTAACTATTAAATAAATAATAAAAATTAAAATAATAAAAACTTCAACTGGCGTTATTACAAGTCATATGAACTTTTCTTCGTCTAAAATATTGAAATATTCAAAAATAGTGAATAAGTAAAACAAAAGGACAATGTTTATATAGTAATTACTATTTTGTAGCAAACCTCATGAGAGTCTAAATCACATAAGTAACATTGATAAATAAAATCATTCTTTTGTCTTGAGCATCAAAAACAAATTGTGACAATTCTCTAAATTTTGGAAAAGATATTCAGAAACATACATCTACATCAGAAGAGAAATTGTTAACAAAAACAAATGAATTTAGACTACATCATGTTAACTTCATCTATTGGAACATTACATACTAATATATATATTAAGCAAAAAACTAATTATTATAACATCAAAATTATTTTTCTCAAGTACTCGAGGTTATGGAATATACCATCATAGGATAGAACAACTTACTTCATCAGAATAGTGGTACCTCATATTCTGCTAAACTTCAAACTCGCTCAACGATAATAAATCACACAAAAAAATATTAAAATGCAAGAAGAAGAGGAGTAAAACATTAAAAAAATTGTGGTTGAAAATGAGAGGAAGCCCCTCTATTTATAGTCAACAAAGGGTAGTATGAACAAATATTTTTTGTGTCTTATCTGAAAAATCATGACCTTTTCGAGAAGTCACAACCCTTTGGAAAAGTCACAACTCTTTGGAAAAGTCACAACTCATCGAAAAATCACAATCCTTTGAAAAGAGTCACAACTTATCGAAAAAGTCACAACTCATCGAAAAAGTCACAACCTAATTTAGGGATATTATAGTAATTTAACATTCAAGTTAGGAGTTCATGTTTTTAAAGTAATATAGATATATATGTATATTAACTTGTGAACCCCTAACAAAATTGATTGACGGTTCAAAAGTAAGGACCGTGGAAATGTTTTTCACACTAAAGTTGTAGTTCCAACTAGGGTGGCAAAGGGACCGGGTTGGCCTGCCCTGGCCTGCGACCGGCTCAAGACCCGTCTCGCCAGACCCGGTCCCGTATGATTTCGCGGGTTTGAGGGACTTCGGGATAGAGGATCGGTTAGGGGCCGCTTCACCCTTTGGTCCCAGTCGACCCGGCCTGACTGAACCGGCCGGTTTCGAGGGATCCCCTATTTAAAAAAATATATATATATATCCGTTGGGGCAACGGCTAGTGGGCCCCCCAACGGATTTATTCACCTTTTTCACTTCCCCAACACCCCTTACTTTTAATACTTTAATTTAAATCCTCAAGTTATCATAAATACACTTTAACCCATTTTTAATATTATAAATACCCCTCTATCCCTTATTATTTCTTACAAAATCATCTATTCTCTCATCTATTTTCTATATCCTCTCAATCTTAAGTCTTAATTTTTTATTCCATTTAAGTCTCATATTATATCATAATACATATATTTCAATTCTAAATTTTCATATTATATCATAATATATATAATTCTCATATTTGCTATCAAGTATTGGAGTTCCAAATTACAAGTTACAACAAACTACAAGCTTCAAGAATCGATTATAACGTCTGTTATTAACGCAGACGCTTGGTACATTCGTTTCATAATATTTATATTTTATTTTTCGTCATTAATTTTTGTGTTATTATTAATTATTTTTATATTACACTTTACATATAATTAAATATGAATTCTAGCAAAAAAGATATCGGTAAATGAAAAGAGAAAGAACCAAGTGGCATTAGTAAATTATTTAATTTTAATAAAAACGGTAGTAAGGAAAAAAATAAGAGTAAATGTGGTGGTACGTCTTCTAAATCAATGTCTAGAGTTAGATTTAATACAAATGATTCTACTTATGTTGATGATACTTCTTATGATATTGATTCAAATGTTCAACTCGATCATGAAATTTTAGAACGACGTTATGCTAATATTAATCCTAATCTTGATGAAAAATTCAGGTGAAGAAGTAGAAATTGATTCGGGAGAAGATGAATTAGAAGATACACCTACTAGTCCGGTGACAGAAGTTCCAAATGAAACTACAAATTCAACGGAGCAAAATTGTGGACACCCACCCTTATACCTCCTACAAGGGAGAAGGTGAAGTATCAACGCCCTAAAACTTCTGTTGTGTGGCAATTTATGACTTTCGATAAAGAAAACTCTATTGCTATTTGTAATAAGTGTAAGCAACTTTTTAAACATAAACAAGGTGGAGGTCAAGGTGGGACGGGGGGCTTAAATAGATATTTGTTATCTTGTGTACCAATTCAATATAAAGAAGCTAAAGCATTAGCCGATAGAAAAAAAGGAATTCTAGTTAATGATGTTGATATTAATGTTAATGAATCGGTAGGGGCTTCTAACATGGTTCAAGGAACATTAGATCCTTCTAACCCCAGTGGTCCACTAACACAACGTAAATATAATAAGGAAAGAGATCACGAAAACTTAGCTAAAATGATTTCTGTTTGTTGTTTGCCTTATAGTTTTCCTTCACATCCCGATTTTATTGAATATATTCAACAAACTTATAATCCTTCTTTTAAAGGTTTTTCAAAAAATATTGTTAAGCTGATGTTTTTTTTAAATCAAGGTAAACATTGTCAATATCTTCGTTGTTTGTTTAGCATATTAGATTGTAGAGTGTCTATAACTTCGGACATGGGTCGTAATGTTAATGGACATGATTATTTAACTATTACAGCACATTGTATTGATCATAGCTG